TTAGAGTAGAAGAAAGCAATCTTTTTAGATGTGTTTAAAAAAAAAATCCAATGATCCAGCTCTGGAAATTTTCTAGGTATCAAAAAAAATCCACTGATTTTAATAAGTGTGTTGACTAGTATGTTTCAAACTAACAAGGATTGAAGGAATATTCTTCAATTATAAGTATTTCCAGTAAAGTAATTAAAAAAAAAAGTACAATGAATTCAGTCTTTTGGGGAAATAAATATTTTAGGTACTTTCTAATGGAAAAACAAATTATTCTCTTGATAGTTTTTTTCTTTCATTGGTTCAGCTTTTTCCTACAAAGACACGGAAGTTTGCAGTTTAGTGAGTGAACTAGGGTTATCAAACTGGAATGCACAGCTGATGAAGAAAACTAAATAAAGACCTGATTTAGAAATTAGAATGCTGATGTGAAGACCTCCTTCTTCCCTTAAGCTTTAATCAGTAAACTGATCATGTGTCTAAAGGAGAGCAAAAAAAAAAAAGAAAAAAGAAAAAATAGGAGGGAAGAAAAAATAAAGAAGTGCCTAGAAAATATTTTTCTTTCAGTAATTTCTATCCAAGCTTTAAAGGTATCAGATCTTTAAATACCTTTAAGGATCAGATCTGCTCTGTACAAACTTTTCTGAGTAACTGTAGCTAAACTTGGATATTGCAAATGCAATGTGTTTTGCACAGCTACCATGGTGCATATTGAAATGTTGCAATCTTATTTTTTATTTCCCATGTATTACAGTAAATTAAAAAAAGCACTGAAAAGACAATTTGACAGATACATTGGTTTTCAAAGTAACCGAAGATGATGAAGATAAATCTTGGGATGAAAAATGAGAAACAGTACTAAACTGCCACTGGCCATGTCTACTAAACTGGTGAGAATGGCTCTTCATATCTGGTAAAATTGGTGGATCTGGCAAAACCAAACTTAAAAAAACCAAAGGCTCCTGCAAGCCCCAATGCAACAACCTATCAGTATTTTCTTCAGGAATGTTGGTGGTTTGTGACCCTTCACCAGAGATCACTCCACAAAGCAGATTTCTGTTCAGTGCTGGGGATCAGCTCACTTGCACTGCCTACTGAACTTCAAGAAGGTTATTCAAGAGTGAAATCCTATTTATACAGAAGAAAAATAGTTTTGTTACGAATCCTACCAGGTAAATAACTATATATAAATAACTCACTTTTTTTTTTAATTTGGAATGTTAAATTTTCTTTCAGATCTGATGTTCAAATGAATGCGTTATACCACATACCCTATCAATATTTTTTTCAGCTAGTGATTTTTAAATATCGTAGAAGATGTAATTGTTAAAGTAAAAAAGTGAAAAAGTTAAAGTGAAAAAAAATTAGAGGGTTTGGACGAATTAAAGGAAGGACAACAATCTATCTGTTACTCTAACTTAACTATCTGTTATTTAGACTCTAATCTATCTATCTGTTACTTTCTTGACATTATAATCAGTTACTCAGATAAGGTGATTGTCTTAGACAGGGTGACTGATTAACAGTATTATTTATTCACAAATCAAATTTGGACAAAACTGAACTTAAATCAGAGTATATTGCCACTGTGTCCAAAACAATATATATACACAGTCTGAAGATACTATTTAAATGTTTTGACGGAGAAAAACAACTTAATGGTCTCTTAATCATACAGCTCTCTCTGTAAAACTTGACCTCAGGTAATAATAGAGAAGAAACAATATAACACTTAGTTATGAATGTTTATCTCCTACTGACATATGTGGGCGTTACATATATACTCTGGTCCACAGTTTGGCATTGTAATGGCTTTGACCCTGCAACTGTAAAGTTAATGAGAGAACATCTCAAGTGCTGCAGGAGTGCAAAGTCAGGTCCAAAATACTTCCAGTGATATAAAAAAAACCTTGAAACTTTGTTATTTTTTCTCAAAACGTTTGGAGATATATATTTACCACATTAAAAATTCTATAACAAACATGTAAAACAAATACAATTTCACTCATCCTAACGCTATTGCCATTCCTGAAAAATACCTACCAGATCTTTCAAGGTTAAGAAACCAATCAAATAAAAGAAAGCCCATTCAATCTTTTTTTTACTTTTGTGTCTTGCATTCATTGTCATTTCAAAAAAAAAAAAAACAAAGTTCTCTTAATTTGAAATTGGCTATAAAGAAGAACAAAAACATCCAGAACAAAGCAGAACATACCATTTGATTATCTTGATTGCATCTTGCACTTGGTTGTACGGTCTGTCTCTAAACTCTGACTCATCTGCTACCAGCAGGCTTTAAGGTGATAATCACCCACACAGAGCTATTTGCACATCATGTCAATCCTATCCCATATCTAATTATACCCTTTATAACTAACTGCTTAGCATAATTAGTGGAATTATGCTTTACAGGAATAAAGATAGAAGCTATAGGTTAGAAGATTAAAGCTTTTTGAATGCATACATGTACAAACTAGTAACTGGTATTTGGTTGCAATAATGAACATTTAGATGCATTGGCCTACATAAAATTGTACAGTGATTATTTATAGCAAGTAAGCTAATGTAGTTTGCAGAATATTTACATACTGTATGTAGACATTGCTGATCATAAAAGCTGAAAAATTATGAAATGGTTTTGGGACTCATTAATTGCTAACACTCTCACCAGTATTTTTCCAGACATGGCTGAAAAATGCTGAAAGGACCAGCATTGGAATCAAGAATGCTGGAAATGATCAGAGAACCTATTATTCAACTGATAGACAACAGCAGGTACAAATGACCTTAATGGGAAAGCTCTGATGTAATTATTTTTCTAGATGATCAGAAAGGATGTTTACTTAATGACCACTCTTTCTTTGTGTTCAGATTTTATGATGTGCTGCTTTAATACAAGATCCTCTGAGGTTAAAAAAAAAACCCCAAAACCCAAAACAAACAAAAAACCAAACAGAATGATACATGTGCACACAGGTAAGTGTATTTTTATTTTTCTTTGGGCATGCTCGGTTTTTGTTTTAAAAGTGTTAGATGAACATCTGTTTGAAGTGGCATCTTCTTTATATGCTGGCAGTTTAGTGTTCACTTCCCTCCACTCCCCCATATACGCTAGGAAAAGCTTGTAGCACACGAAAGCCAATACCCCCACATTAGTGTTTGCTGCCAGGCAAAATAAAAGCGAAACTGCATCTCCTGAGAATAACTTCCTGTCCCCAGATGGGAAAAAAATCTACTGATATGAACACAAACATTGTATTAGCATAGACAAAAGAAGAAATCATGCAAAATCCATTAAAGCAGCCACAACTAATTCGCCTTGTTTGTTTTTATGTATTAATTATAATTCTGCTAAATTCTTTTAGAGACCAGCATCAATCTATGGGTTCTATCCTTGTTTAATGATAATTCTGCTATTCCTATCCTATAGAAAATATGTTCAGAACATTGTGCAAGTAAAGCTTTTTTTCCCCAAGCTATTTTTAAGAAAAAACAACTGAAAAGCCAAGCAGAATAGTCAGTATGTACTTGTGCTCATGAAGAGAGACTCGTACTTCATCCTTTCCATGTAGGCAAATAAATTTGTTGAATTCTACCACATATTACTCCAAGACATTTAAAGCAGATTTAAAGTAACGCATAGGCTTGCAGTAACTCTTGTATTTCCTATGGATGTTAAACAGATTTTTCTCCATTTTTAATAGATAAATAGTGCTAATCACCCCAGTGTAAAATTCAAAGAGGTCAACAGTGCATCCTTTCAGGTCACCATTGTTTAAAAGATACTTGAGTTTCCCTATTAAGTTTTCAAAGGCCAACATCTGCTGATGCTCAGAAATGGTGGATGTGGTGACGAAGGTTGTATGGCGTGTAAAGTGAAAACACAACCATATAGTCCATGCAACACAGTACTAAGAAACTATAGCACTAAGAAACTCCAAAGAGCTATTTTCCCATTTATCCCATTTCTGTTATCAACGGCAGGAGTACTCCTGATAACAATAGCATAAACTGTATTTTACTGTCTTTTGTTTAGTTCATCATTTGATTATAAAATAGATGTGTAAATACAAGATTTTGAAAGTAGTACATCCCTGCACATTTGCAGTCATGCAAATGTCAAAGCAGATACTAAAGCAGAAAAATTACATTATTACAATTGAAGGCTTTCATCTGCAAGTTATTGTCATTGATGCTGTTTCACTATTTAAAGCTGCAAAACAGATGCCATGGCATTCATTTGGTAACACTACTCTCATTTACAAGGAGGCTAGTTTTGATGCCATTTAACTTGCTGTCTAGAGTTTACAAATCAGCGCCTATTCATAAGCTTAAGTAACCTGAGCTGATTTATAAATTGACACACCTGACCATGCATCATAAGAAGCAAGGCAGTTTTATCCAAATTATAAGAAGCTTTTCAGCTGGATATCACATATTGCAAATCATATTTTACCACTATGATATTTTATCATTGTGATAGTTCTGCTTTGCACAGAACTTCCAACAGATTCCAACAGATATGCTACATTTACTAAGCTGAAAAATGAAAAATATTTTTAATAAATTATTCCATTTGTTCTTTGAATATACATACCCTCACATACACACATGTTTAAACACACACACACGCGCGCGCATGAAAACTAATGTTTCTATACTTATCCATTATTAGCAAGCACTTTTTTGGGAAAATATACTGAACAAATATTTTCTTTAGAACAGTGTCTAAATTCTCTGTATAATAGTCAATTTTACAATATGCAGCTCTCATTTGCTGATCAAAACAGATCAGGTAATTGTGCTTGAAGGCAGACGTACTGTCATAAGAGACCTTCTCTCTGATCATGTAATATGGTTACATTTTAATGTAACAGAGGAAAGCCAATACATAGCCCCTTCACTGTAAAGCATATTTCAGAGAAACATTATCTACAACAGAAATGGATGTTGGGAAAATAGATCCAAGAAGCTGAATGACAATGCAAAACAATACTGTTTTTATTACTTACTACCAATACTGGAAATACTGGGTATACCTGTAGAGAAAGAAAGCAAAACATGTGTTGTTAGCTGTTTGCTTTAGTTGACTGAAGTATTAAATCTAAGAAACTGGAAACAATTTTCTCCTAATTTTCAGAATGTTATATCAATAAATAGTTAAAACTAAGCAATTGTCAATACATATCCAGACCCTTCTAAATGTAGAGCCTTTAGCTTCTTCAATATGAGACTGCAGGGACCACTAAAATGTATTGACAGATGGGTATTTCTGGGACTTACACCAGCTCTCTGAACTTCATGAATTTGTTCGGAACAGTTTTGTATTTGAACTAACCAGCCATTAGGTTTAATGCTCTGGATAAAAATATCACTCATGCATGATTATGCAGATCTCGGAAAATAATTTAACCAAGGGATAGATGCACTCCTAACTGCTTTGGCCAGCTGGTTAAATCAGCTGATACCTTCTGTTGCATTAACTGTATACAGCTATTATTTTTTTTCCTCTTTTACCTGGTGGTTATCTAAATTAAGATATGGAAAAGAAATGTAATTGAGCAAAATGATTTAATGCATTAGGTCATTCATGTTGATTAAACCTCTTACTGATTTTTTTTTTTTTTTTGCTTTCATTTCAAGCCCTATACTGAATTAACACAAGGAAAGCATTCCAGAGGCAGGTGAGATTTCTGGAATGGGTGGGTCTCCTGAGGATTAAAGCTTCTCTGTCAAATTAGCAATCCCATGTTACATGATGCAATCCCACATTTAGCTTCTGGTTTTGACTACCCCTGAAGGATGTGTGGCAGAGAAATATGGACATGAAATCTTTCCTGAACTGTCATTTTCTTTAGATAAAATGGCATCACTAATGACACTATTGCTAGTCTCCTTGGTTAGAGCCACATATTGCAGATCAGTATTTAAAACCTGAATATTTGCATCTTCTCAGTTAAATACAGTTTGCCTTTTGTAAGTTTTATTGACTCTTGAGAGCTTGCATTTTACTGCAGAAATCTGTCTATTTCTCCATTAAACATCTGCTATACTTCTTTCAAAGTCTTTCTTGAAGTACTGTCTTAGTCAGAGATGGTATGGACTTCATTCTGCAATTAAGCAAGCTGAGGATAAATGATATTCACTGTAAGTAAGGCTGTAGAGTCAAGTTAGGAGCATTTCTAAATTGTGTCACGGCTAAGACGATGCTGAAATAATTGCATATACAGAACAGAACCATACAGAACCATAAGCTGTTCTTTTGTGTTTCACCACATCAGTCCTGGGGCAGATATAAAACCAGCTAGCTTATATGGGTTTTATATCCCATATGGTACCCATGGTCTGAAAGAGTGCTGAGTACTGCACTGGAGACAGCACCTGCTATTAACTGAGTTCCATATTCAGATGTTGTTTGTAAAATAAATTATTTTTATTTCTGCTGAGATTAACAGGTATTTTCCAAAATTTTAGAATCATGCAATAAATATTAAAAGCTAAATAAAACATCATCATAATAGAAAAATGCTATCATCTTTCTAGAAATAACAAAAAGTTCTTATTCTGCTACTGTAGTTTTCAGTTGGAAGAGATTATTGTAAGAAAATTTCTACCCCCTTGCCTTAAATGTCAAAAAAGCAATCAATTTTAAAATGATTTTTCCAAAAGTTTCAATAGCAACTTATTTACATTTTTGCAAGTCATGTAGCTATTTTAAATTAGCAGGATTCATTTTCCTTTTACACTGATGGAAAGTGCACAGGTATTGGATAAAATACAGATGCTGTATTCTCACACTGTGAGATGGTATTTGTATTTCCTCTGGGTATTCTCCCCTCCCCATGCTTCTTCAATTCTCCTTCTTTCCCACGTGCACATTCAAATATCCTCTCCTGCCTCTCCAGAACAAGCTGTAGCAGAGAGAGAGAGGTTTTCCTGCAAGCCTGCACTCCTCTTTCTACTGTATTTCAAAATTCTTAATGAATTCATAGTGATAAGTGCTTCCTGGGAAGAGAATAACGAAAACAAGACAGCAGCTTGCCTGAAGGGCTCTGCATTAACCTTGCTAGATTGTCTGCACGTTCTGTTTGAAAAACTCTTTTGCTATTTCCATGCAGAATTTCTGTGATCTTCTTTAACCAGCTTGATTTTTGAATACCTGGTTTCCCTGTGTGTAATGACTGACCTTGATAATGCACTACTTTATAAAGAGTGTGAAAATGGCATCTCTAAGTTTGTCTAGAAAAGAGATGGTTATGTAGGGCCATAAAACAGGATCTATTAATACTCTGTAAAAAAATGAAGTGCACATATGATGGGAAAATTATTCTTAGCAAGAGATATTTTGTGAGATCTGGAGTTACATATTGAGGCTAGTTCTTGAATTCAGTGGAGCTGTATCTAGTGCAAGGGCTTAGGTAATAAGGCACAGGAGGTTTGATTCACCCTTCCTTTTTCTGTAAGGGCGTAAATGTAAGGGCTTCACTTTATGGCTGCTCCAGTAGCACCCACTGTTGGCAGAACTAATAGGTTGCTGTGCAACCCAGAAGAGGAGTTGTAGAGTCCTCCCACTAGTGCAGTCCCTCTGGGTAGGAATTGATGGAGAAACTGTTATATAAAATGAATCGTTTCCAGTTGGCTTTCTAATGAGATTTGTGAGCACTTTACAGCAGTGAAATGATGTAAATAAATTATAGAGAGAGGTGAAGAATCAGGCCCACTACTTCCCTCAATGCACAGTTCTCGCTCTTCATCTAGATGTAAAAAGTAAGTTAACCCAACTAACTGCATTTACCTATGATCAGTTGTTAAACTAAAGACAATGTTTAGTCTAAATTCTCTTCCTTTGAAACCACTGGGAAGGACGTAAACTGTAACAGAGACAGTTTTTTTGTAGAGAAAACAGTAACTAAAACATACAAAGTAAGTTCAGAGGTACCTATTGCCACAGAAATAGCAAAGATTCCAGAAGTAAGTCTCTAATACTACTGACTATTTGTGACTTGACTTGAGGGTGGTGTTTTGGTATACAGCTGTTTGCTGTAAGTGCATGTAAATACGTACGTATTATTTGGGAGAAAAAAAATCTGGTGTTTTGCTTTCAAATGGTCTTCTGCATCTGACTTGTAATTTTTTGATTTCCCTCTTTTCTAGAAATGGGTTTGGTTTAGTTATTAGCTACCATATAGCTGACTCTATTGAGAAAGGAGAAAAAAACCTCTCAAGATTTTTTCACCAAATCAGATACTAGCAAAGAAAGTGAGTTTTTGATTTTTCCTATGGATCATGTCAGTATGAAGCCCATAATACAAAGGAACAGTGTCAGCCTTTTCAGTGAGAAGGGCCACACTGCTTCTTGCAGTAGCATCAGGGTGGGTCATACACTGCTGTCCTCTTATCGCCTCAAATAGTCAATTTGCGTGTGCACTGTCTGCCAGCACAGCACTTAATGCAGCAAGGCTGCATGTTTTCCTGGGCAGAGAGCATGTATGGGGCGCACGAATTATCTGGCAACTTGATCTTGGCTGCCATCTTTCTCAGGGGCTTTTCTGCCTCTTCTCTATCGCAAGTTGAACGTGCACCTGTCATATGCCAGGGAGCCAGGGACAGGGACTTGCTGCTATCAGAGCAATACACCTAGCTTGCAGTTTGCTTATGTTCAGGGAAAGAATGTCACGAAAGGCTCAATGAATTATGGAAGTGAGCTGAATACAGCCCAGAGACTGAGAACTGAGAATGCCTGCTATGAAGTATATATATAACAGTAAACAATGCAGTACAAGTTTGGACTCCTATTAATTGCTGATCATAACTGAGAGAGCGCTTTTCTGACAGAAGAGACGTCCTTGTAATTGCGCTCCTCACTACCTGTTTTACTCTTAAACAGAAACAAAATATAGAGCTGAATTCCACAGCAAACAGCAAGACCTGGGCTGTTAATTCCACATCTGATCTTTTGCTAGAGTGTCTGTGTGGCAGTGTGACAGCACGCCCTGCACTCAAGTTCTTTTCCCTTTGCAAATCCTCCACTGAGGTATGACTGCAATATCAGAACTTCATCATCAATTTTAGAAGTTTTGAATTCTCGAGTAATTTAGCACTCTGAGAAGCTGGGAGAACCTCCTAGCATCTTGTAATCCTTCAAAGTGAGCAATTGTCATGATCATAGGAGTAAACCTTCCAAGTGTTGACAAACAATGTTCAGGCAAAAAAATTCATGCAAAGAATCACACATACAGAGAAAGACAAAAATCTTAGGAAATTTAGCATGTGTTTCATTGCAAAAGCCATAAAATTCCTGCCACTGTAAATTCTGAAGTTGCTTGCTTTGTAAAGATTGAATTTTTTTTAATTCACAGAAATGAAGCGTTTTAAGTGACATTTGTACCCTCTGCTTTCCTAAGCAATATCACCACAAATAAATGGGAGATAGAAAATAATTTGTCACTGCTTGATTAGGTAACACCTTTTAAAACTTTGGCCTTTTCTCATGATGTTTTAGCAATTCTAACCCAGTACTGAAAACTGGGTGACTCCTAGTAAGATCAAAGGATTTTTCAAGTAATCCTAATTCATTGAGTTCCACTGGGGACTTCGAAAACCCAACACTTCTTCATTGTATACTATGTAAACAGATTTGTTTGCAACCAGTGGCAAGGATGGAAGCAGTTGATTTCCCCACAATAGATTCCACCATAACTGACACAAGCAACTCAGCAGGCTCATACAAGAGGATACAGTGCTGAAGAATAATTTTTCAAGCCACATTTTAAAAAATATAGCAAATATTACTTATGGTGCATCATTTTGAGATATATACCTGCATCCTTGTACTGATGATTGCAGTGGATACCTACTAAGAGGGAAGTCAGTTTATCAGCTGCATGTTTTCCTGACTCTCGTCTTCCCGTATACCCCTATCTCAAATACAATTTTGCCCTCACCAACAAGTTTCTCAGCCTCATACACCTTTTGTGTGATTTCTGCCTGTGGCTTTACATCTTCTGTAAGCTTCAAGAGCCAAAATTAATATTTAATA